TCACATTTTCCACCCTTTTCCCCCTCAGTTTTCCACCTCTTTCCTTTCTCACGTTTGCTGCCGTTTTGTTCCCTCAAGTTTTACACCTTTCTTTTTCTCACGTTTTTCACTTTTTTTTCCCTTAATATTTCCCAATTATTTTTTCTTTGCATTTCTTGCTGTTACGTTGCCTCGTTTCCCACCCATTTTCACCTCACGTTTCCTGCTCTTTGCCCCTCATGTTTGTCACCTTTTCTCCCCTCATGTTTCTCTTTTTTCCCCCTCACGTTTCCCGCCCTTTTCTCTCCTAATGTTTCCCAGCTTTTCCCCTCACATTTCCCCCTTTTCTCCCCCACATCCCATACCTCTCTATGCACCCCAAACTCCTCCTACGTTTCCCCCTTTTTCCCCTCATATTTCCCAGCTTTTTCCCTCACATTTCTCCCTTTCTTCCCCTCACATTTCCCCCATTTTCCCTTCACATTTCCCCATTTCTCCCCTCACATTTCCCCATTTTCCCCTCACATTTCCCCCTTTCCCCTCTCACATTTCCTGCCATTTTCCCTTCCTTTCCCCCGTTTCCGTCACATCCCATTTGCCATCCGCTCACCCCAAAACCTCTCGCCTTTGTCACCCCAGCCCTGTGTCACTGCCGCGTCCCCACGTCACCCTGACCCTGTAAACGTCACGACTGTGGTGTCCCCACATCCCCGAAGTGTCCCCAAGGTGTCCCCAAGGTGTCCCCAGGGCTGCACCACTCGGGGTCACCCCAAAGTGTCCCCTCAGTTCCCTCCCTGTCCTTGAGGAGGGTCATGGCCATGGTGTCCCCACGTCCCCAAAGTGTCCCCAAGGTGTCCCCATTTCCTCAGGGTTACTGGGGCTCTTCAAGGGTCACCCCAAACTGTCCCCTCAATTCCCTCTCTGTCCTTGACGGGGGTCATGGTCACACTGTCCCCACATCCCTGAGCTGTCCCCAAGCTGTCCCCAGGGCTGCACCACTTGGGGTCACCCCAAAGTGTCCCCTCAATTCCCTCTCTGTCCTTGACAGGGGTCACGGTCACACTGTCCCCACATCCCCGAGGTGTCCCCAAGGTGTCCCCAAAGTGTCCCCAAAGTGTCCCCAAGCTGTCCCCGAGCTGTCCCCAAGGTGTCCCTGAGCTGTCCCCGAGCTGTCCCTGAGCTGTCCCCATGTCCCCAGGGCTGTCAGGGCTCTTTGAGACGGGGCTGCACCACGCGGGGTCACCCCAAAGTGTCCCCTCAGTTCCCTCCCTGTCCTTGAGGGGGGTCACAGCCATGGTGTCCCCACATCCCCGAGGTGTCCCCAAGGTGTCCCCAAGGTGTCCCCAGGGCTGCACCACTCGGGGTCACCCCAAAGTGTCCCCTCAGTTCCCTCTCTGTCCTTGAGGGGTCACGGCCATGATGTCCCCACATCCCCGAGGTGTCCCCAAGGTGTCCCCAAGGTGTCCCCAAGGTGTCCCCAGGGCTGCACCACTCGGGGTCACCCCAAAGTGTCCTCTCAGTTCCCTCCCTGTCCTTGAGAGGGGTCACCCCAAAGTGTCCCCACATCCCCAAAGTGTCCCCAAGGTGTCCCTGAGCTGTCCCCGAGCTGTCCCTGAGCTGTCCCCATGTCCCCAGGGCTGTCAGGGCTCTTTGAGACGGGGCTGCACCACGCGGGGTCACCCCAAAGTGTCCTCTCAGTTCCCTCCCTGTCCTTGAGAGGGTCACAGCCATGGTGTCCCCACATCCCCAAAGTGTCCCCAAGGTGTCCCTGAGCTGTCCCCATGTCCCCAGGGCTGTCAGGGCTCTTTGAGACGGGGCTGCACCACTCGGGGTCACCCCAAAGTGTCCCCTCAGTTCCCTCCTTGTCCTTGAGAGGGGTCACAGCCATGGTGTCCCCACATCCCCAAAGTGTCCCCAAGGTGTCCCTGAGCTGTCCCCATGTCCCCAGGGCTGTCAGGGCTCTTTGAGACGGGGCTGCACCACTCGGGGTCACCCCAAAGTGTCCCCTCAGTTCCCTCCCTGTCCTTGAGGGGTCACGGCCATGGTGTCCCCACGTCCCCGAAGTGTCCCCAAGGTGTCCCCATGTCCCCAGGGTTACTGGGGCTCTTCAAGGGTCACCCCAAACTGTCCCCTCAATTCCCTCTCTGTCCTTGACGGGGGTCACGGTCACACTGTCCCCACATCCCTGAGCTGTCCCCAAGGTGTCCCCAAAGTGTCCCCAAGGTGTCCCCGAGGTGTCCCCAGGGCTGCACCACTCGGGGTCACCCCAAAGTGTCCCCTCAGTTCCCTCCCTGTCCTTGAGGGGGGTCACAGCCATGGTGTCCCCACATCCCCGAGGTGTCCCCAAGGTGTCCCCAAGCTGTCCCCGAGGTGTCCCCGAGGTGTCCCCAGGGCTGCACCACTCGGGGTCACCCCAAAGTGTCCCCTCAGTTCCCTCCCTGTCCTTGAGGGGGGTCACAGTCACACTGCCCCCACAGTCACAGCCATGGTGTCCCCACATCCCCAAGGTGTCCCCAAGGTGTCCCCAGCGTTGCTCCACTCAGGGTCACCTCAAACTTTCCCCTCAGTTTCTTCCAAGGCGTTCCCTGTCCTTGAGGAGGGTCACGGACATGGTGTCCCCACGTCCCCGATGTGTCCCCAAGGTATCCCCAAAGTGTCCCCAAGGTGTCCCCAAGCTGTCCCCGAGGTGTCCCCGAGGTGTCCCCAGGGCTGCACCACTCGGGGTCACCCCAAAGTGTCCCCTCAGTTCCCTCCCTGTCCTTGAGGGGTCACGGCCATGGTGTCCCCACGTCCCCAAAGTGTCCCCAAGGTGTCCCCATGTCCCCAGGGTTACTGGGGCTCTTCAAGGGTCACCCCAAACTGTCCCCTCAATTCCCTCTCTGTCCTTGACGGGGGTCACGGTCACACTGTCCCCACATCCCTGAGCTGTCCCCAAGGTGTCCCCAAAGTGTCCCCAAGGTGTCCCCAAGGTGTCCCCAGGGCTGCACCACTCGGGGTCACCCCAAAGTGTCCCCTCAGTTCCCTCCTTGTCCTCGAGGAGGGTCACGGCCGCAGTGTCCCCACGTCCCCAAAGTGTCCCCAAGCTGTCCCCAAGCTGTCCCCAGGGCTGCACCACTCGGGGTCACCCCAAAGTGTCCTCTCAGTTCCCTCCCTGTCCTTGAGAGGGTCACAGCCATGGTGTCCCCACATCCCCAAAGTGTCCCCAAGGTGTCCCTGAGCTGTCCCCATGTCCCCAGGGCTGTCAGGGCTCTTTGAGACGGGGCTGCACCACTCGGGGTCACCCCAAAGTGTCCCCTCAGTTCCCTCCTTGTCCTTGAGAGGGGTCACAGCCATGGTGTCCCCACATCCCCAAAGTGTCCCCAAGGTGTCCCTGAGCTGTCCCCATGTCCCCAGGGCTGTCAGGGCTCTTTGAGACGGGGCTGCACCACTCGGGGTCACCCCAAAGTGTCCCCTCAGTTCCCTCCTTGTCCTTGAGAGGGGTCACAGCCATGGTGTCCCCACATCCCCAAAGTGTCCCCAAGGTGTCCCTGAGCTGTCCCCATGTCCCCAGGGCTGTCAGGGCTCTTTGAGACGGGGCTGCACCACTCGGGGTCACCCCAAAGTGTCCCCTCAGTTCCCTCCTTGTCCTTGAGAGGGGTCACAGCCATGGTGTTGTCCCCAAGGTGTCCCCAAAGTGTCCCCAAAGTGTCCCCAAGCTGTCCCCGAGCTGTCCCCAAGGTGTCCCTGAGCTGTCCCCGAGCTGTCCCTGAGCTGTCCCCATGTCCCCAGGGCTGTCAGGGCTCTTTGAGACGGGGCTGCACCACGCGGGGTCACCCCAAAGTGTCCCCTCAGTTCCCTCCCTGTCCTTGAGGAGGGTCATGGCCATGGTGTCCCCACGTCCCCAAAGTGTCCCCAAGCTGTCCCCAAGCTGTCCCCAGGGCTGCACCACTCGGGGTCACCCCAAAGTGTCCCCTCAGTTCCCTCCTTGTCCTTGAGAGGGGTCACAGCCATGGTGTCCCCACATCCCCAAGGTGTCCCCAAGGTGTCCCCAGCGTTGCTCCACTCAGGGTCACCTCAAACTTTCCCCTCAGTTTCTTCCAAGGCGTTCCCTGTCCTTGAGGAGGGTCACGGACATGGTGTCCCCACGTCCCCGATGTGTCCCCAAGGTATCCCCAAAGTGTCCCCAAGGTGTCCCCAAGCTGTCCCCGAGGTGTCCCCGAGGTGTCCCCAGGGCTGCACCACTCGGGGTCACCCCAAAGTGTCCCCTCAGTTCCCTCCCTGTCCTTGAGGGGTCACGGCCATGGTGTCCCCACGTCCCCGAAGTGTCCCCAAGGTGTCCCCATGTCCCCAGGGTTACTGGGGCTCTTCAAGGGTCACCCCAAACTGTCCCCTCAATTCCCTCTCTGTCCTTGACGGGGGTCACGGTCACACTGTCCCCACATCCCTGAGCTGTCCCCAAGCTGTCCCCAGGGCTGCACCACTTGGGGTCACCCCAAAGTGTCCCCTCAATTCCCTCTCTGTCCTTGACAGGGGTCACGGTCACACTGTCCCCACATCCCCGAGGTGTCCCCAAGGTGTCCCCAAAGTGTCCCCAAGGTGTCCCCAGGGCTGCACCACTCGGGGTCACCCCAAAGTGTCCCCTCAGTTCCCTCCTTGTCCTCGAGGAGGGTCACGGCCGCAGTGTCCCCACGTCCCCAAAGTGTCCCCAAGGTGTCCCCAAGGTGTACCCAAGGTGTCCCCAAGGTGTCCCCAGGGCTGCACCACTCGGGGTCACCCCAAAGTGTCCCCCCAGTTCCCTTCCTGTCCTTCAGGGGTCACAGCCAGGTGTCCCCACATCCCCGAGCTGTCCCCGAGCTGTCCCTGAGCTGTCCCCGTGTCCCCAGGGCTGTCGGGGCTCTTCGAGACGGGGCTGCACCACGCGGGGGGCGCGGCCCCCGACGCCTCGGTCATGAACCTGATCTCGGCGCTGGAGTCGCGGGGACCCCAGCCCGGACCCTCGGCCTCGTCCCTCCTGTCCCAGTTCCGCACGCTTCCCATTTACCCCAGGGGGGGTCCCCATTTACCCCTACCGGGGTCCCCACATGTACCCGGGTGTCCCCATCCCCCTGGGATGTCCCCCCCTCCCCAGATGGGGTCCCCACTCTTACTTGGGTGCCCCCCACTCACCCCGGGGGTGTCCCCCCTCCTCAAACAGGGTCCCCACATGTACCTGGGTGCCCCCCACTTACCCCTGGGATGTCTCCCCCTCCCCAAATGGGATCCCCACTTGTACCTGGCTGTCCCCATTTACCCCAAATGGGGGTCCCCATTTGTACCTGGGTGATCCCCACTCCCCCCAGGAGTGTCCCCCCCTCCCCAAACGGGGTCCCCACATGTCCCAGGGTGCCCCCACTCCCCCCGGGGGTGTCACCTCCTGTCCTACCAGGGTCCCCACATGTCCCAGGTGCCCCCAACCCCCTTCCCGTGTCTCCCCCCACCCAAATAGAGTCCCCACGTGTACCTGGGTGTCCCCTGTTCCCCCCGGGGGTGTCCCCCCCTCCCCAAACGGGGTCCCCACATGTCCCAGGGTGCCCCCACTCCCCCCGGGGGTGTCACCTACTGTCCTACCAGGGTACCCCCATGTCCCAGGTGCCCCCAACCCCCTTCCCGTGTCTCCCCCCCTGACCCCGCCGCTCCCCCTCCCCAGCCATGCACACTCCAGCTCCGGCCGAGCTCTTCATCTCGGGAGCGCTGCCCGGCTCGGGCACCTTCCCGTCCTCGTCGGCGCTCGGCCCCTACCAGCACCCGGCGTCCTTCGGCGGCCGCAGCTTCCCGGTGGGGTCCCCGCTGAGCCTGCCCGAGGCCGCCTTCAGCCCCGGCTCCAACGGGCTGCTGTCCCCGCACGACCCGCTGCTGCACATCAAGCCCACGCAGCCCGCCGTGCCCTCCTCGCTGGGCTTCGACCGCCTGGGCTCGGCCGTGCTGGGCTCGGCGCTGCCCGCCCAGACCCCTCCGTACCGGCCCGCTCCCAGTTCCTCCCAGTTCAACCTGCTGGCGGCCACCGAGCAGCCCCCTCAGCTCTACAACGCGCCCGTTTTCGGCGGCGCCAACGCGGCGGGCGGCGGCGATCGCGCCATATCGCGACAGGACAGCGTCATCAAGCACTACCAGCGGCCGGGCGGGGCTCAGCCGCAGCTGCCGCCGGCGCCGGGGCTGCAGCACTACCTGAGCTGCGGCGGCTCCTACCAGCAGGTGCCCGCGCACCGCGCCCCGCTGTCCTGCAGCCCGCTGGGCGAGCAGTCGCCCGCCAGCTCCGAGGGCTCGCAGCAGCCGCCCAAAGCCGCTCCGCCGGCGCCGCGCCCCGAGCCGGGCTACCGGCCCATCATCCAGTCGCCCGGTTACTCCGGGGGCGCCGCGGGCGCCGCGGGCAACGGCGGCGCGGGCGGCGGCAACGGCGGCAAGTCCAAGAGCTACTCGGCGTCGCGGCAGCCGCCGCGCTCCACCAACACGCCCAAGTGCCAGAGCAGCTACACGCCCAGCACGCCCAAGCCCAGCTCCGTCATCGCCAGCCAGTCGCCGGCCTACTCGCCGGGCCAGCCGCCCCAGAGCCTGCTGGCCATGGGGGGAGCCCCCGGCTACAGCGCGCCCGGGGCGCCCCAGAGCCTGGCGGGGGCGGCGCAGCCCGCGGGGGGCTTCAGCGGAGGGCAGGCCGGGGACCTGGGGGGCAAAGGCGGCGGCTACCAGGGCGGGGGGCAAGGCGGCGGGCAAGGGGGGCTGCAGCCCTGCGTCAGCGGCGCGGGCACCTACTCGCCCGAGCAGCTGCAGGCGCTGCCCTACGGCGTCCAGCCCGAGGGGGGACAAGCGGGGGGCTACGGGCCGCCGGCCCCCTCGCAGGGCTTGCCCACCGCCAGCCCCTCGCTGACCTACAGCACCGGGCACTCGCCCGCCATGCCCGGGCCGCCGCTGCCCTACGCCGGCCTGGGGGGCTCCAGCCCCTCGCCCATCATCCGCCCGCTGCAGTCGCCGCCGGCCGCCCGGCCGCAGAGCGGGGCGTCGCCGGGCCAGTCGCAGAAGTACCTGGGCTCCGTGCTCTCGCCGTCCTTCATGGCCCCGCAGGGCTACGGCGCCGCGCCGGGCGGGGGGCTCGAGCGGCAGCCGCCCCCCGCCCCGCCGGGGGCGCCCCCGAATTTCGGCAAGGGGGCCAAAGGCGAGGCGGAGCTGCTGGCGGCGGAGCGCAGCGAGGACGAGGATTTCCTGATCCAGCACCTGCTGCAGGCGCCCAGCCCGCCCCGAGAGGGGCTGGGGGGCTGCGAGGAGCGCCCCAAAACTCTGGGGGGCTACGGGGGGGCGCTGGGCAAGGAGGAGCGCTACCAGCTGCAGAGCGTCATCCGGCCCAACTCCAACCTGGAGGCGCCGCTGGAGCTGGCGCTGCTCAAGGAGAAGAAGAAGCCGGAGAGAGGCAAAGAATTCCGGGGGGCTGGCGGAGGAGGAGGGGGCGGCGAGGTGGCGGCCACCTCGGTGGTGCACTACGGCCACCAGCCGCCGCCCGCGCTCGACACGTACGAGCTGAAGAAGCCGCCCGAGCACCTGGCCGGGGGCAAGGAGCTGGGCCAGCCGCCGCCGCCGCACTCGTACCTGCCCAAAACCCCCGAGCACGGGCGGCTGGTGGGCGAGGGACCCCCGCTGGAGCCCCACAACCTCCTGCTGGACCCCTCCCCGGAATTGGGGGGGTCGCTGCTGCCCTCGGTGCTCACCCACACGCAGAGCCAGCTGCACCCGCGGCCCAAGGCGAGAGCGCCGCTGGACGTTCACCTGCTGGAGCAGCAGAGGATGCCGCCCCCGCCGCCGCCCCCTCCGCCTGGGGGGTTTGGGATGGGTCTGAGTGACGGAAATTGGGGTTTGGGGGGTTTGGGATGGGCCTGAAGTGACCAAAATTGGGGTTTGGGATGGGCCGGGGTGACCGAAATTGGGGTTTGGGGTTTGGGGTGGGCATGAAGAGACCGAAATTGGGGTTTGGGGGGTTTGGGATGGCCATGAAGTGACCGAAATTGGGGTTTGGGATGGGCCGGGGTGACCCAAATTGGGGTTTGGGGTGGGTCTGAGTGGCTGAAATTGGGGTTTGGGGGGGTTTGGGACGGGCCGGGGTGACCCAAACTGGGGTTTGGGGTTTGGGGTGGGCCTGAAGTGACCAAAATTGGGGTTTGGGGGGTTTGGGATGGGCCGGGGTGACCCAAATTGGGGTTTGGGGAGTGGTTTGGGGTTTGGTTTGCTCCAAATGGTCCTAAAATGACCCAGAATTGGGGTTTGGGGTGCTTGGGATGGGCCTGAGTGACTGAAATTGGGGTTTGGGGGGTTTGGGATGGACCTGAAGAGACCGAAATTGGGGTGCTCGGGATGGGCCTGAGTGACTGAAATTGGGGTTTGGGGGGTTTGGGGTGCTGCAAATTGACCCAAAATGCCCCAAAATTGGGGTTTGGGGGGTTTGGGATGGGCCTGAAGAGACCGAAATTGGGGTGCTCGGGATGGGCCTGAGTGACTGAAATTGGGGTTTGGGGGGTTTGGGATGGGCCGGGGTGACCCAAATTGGGGTTTGGGGTTTGGGATGGGTCTGAGTGACCGAAATTGGGGTTTGGGATGGGCCTGAAGAGACCGAAATTGGGGTTTGGGGGGTGGTTTGGGGTTTGGTTTGCTCCAAACAGTCCTAAAATGCCCCAAATTGGGGTTTGGGGTGGGTCTGAGTGACCCAAATTGGGGTTTGGGGAGTGGTTTGGGGTTTGGTTTGCTCCAAATGGTCCTAAAATGACCCAGAATTGGGGTTTGGGGTGCTTGGGATGGGCCTGAGTGACTGAAATTGGGGTTTGGGGGGTTTGGGATGGGCCGGGACCGAAATTGGGGTTTGGGGGGGTTTGGGATGGGCCGGGGTGACCGAAATTGAGGTTTGGGGGGTTTGGGATGGGTCTGAGTGACCGAAATTGGGGTTTGGGATGGGCCTGAAGAGACCGAAATTGGGGTTTGGGGGGTGGTTTGGGGTTTGGTTTGCTCCAAACAGTCCTAAAATGCCCCAAATTGGGGTTTGGGGGGGTTTGGGGTGCTGCAAATTGACCTAAAACACCCCAAATTTGGAGTTTGGGGGGGTTTGAGGGGGTTTGGTGTGCCCCAAATTGACCCAAAATGCCCCAAAATTGCGGTTCCACCCCCCCAGATCAAAATGGGAGAGTCCAAGGGAGGTCGCGGAGGGGCCACTGGGGCTTACTGGTCTGTACTGGTCCATACTG